ACTCCTGCGCCCCCTGCTGTCGCATCGCAGCTGCGCAGCCGGGCCCGGCCGGCCAGCCCCGGGGTCCCAGTGGCCGGCTCCCAGCTGGCGCGGGGGAGGGGAGGGGCACTCTGTTTCTGACTCCCACTTGCATGAGACTGACTGAGTCGGTGGGAAGTGTCTGGACCGGTGGGGTGCACTTCGATTCTTGCCTGGCCTTTGCTGGGTGACCTTTTGTAGATCCCCGGTCCCTTTCTGGGCCTGTTTTTCCATCTCCTTCACAGGACTGCCAGGAGGCTCGCACCTGAGGATGATGGGCAGGCAGCCAAAGTACCTGACTTGTCCTGACAGCCCTCTGTGTCGTCTGACCCCAAGCCCTTCCCTCTGCTCGGCTGGTCCCTCTCTCAGCAACTCCTTCAACATGTGCAGGGTGACTCAGTGAGCCCCCAGTCTCCCAGCCTCCCCACCTCCCTGGCTGATTCATCCCAGGCCCTTGCTCCCTTCAAGGTTGAGTCACTGAGCCCAGTCCATGGACACCCTCCAGGCACCTGGCCCACAGAAACAGCAGAGCCCTGCCGTTCCACCAGCTTAGGGGGAGGTGCTCTCTCTCATGGCAGGTTTCCTCCCCATCTCTTTCTGAGACATAGCCCCTGCCCAAACACCTTTGGTGGCTCCCTACTACTGGACAGTAAAATGCACACCTCAGCCTGACTTGCCAGGACCCTGATTTATCTTGGCTGCCCTGCCCATCATCCCTTAAATTTCTCCTGCCTGCCCTGCTCAGTCCCGTGACTGACTCATTCCTGCCTCTAGGGCTTTGCTCATGCCACCTCCCACCCCCAATGCCCTCTTGCCAGCCCTGGTTATTCAGGAGCCCCTGGAAGGTGCACCTTCTCCAAGGGACCCCTGACTGCTTGCCTCAGACCTCTGAGTCCTCCTTCTTGTGTGTTTCCTGAGAGTCTTGGCTGGAGGCTGGAGGAGTAAGGAGCTTGCCTGTTACTGCCTGATATAGGCCAAGTCAACATGTTTTCCTACATCTGTAAAGGTAATTTGTCCTATTTTTTAACGTCACAGAAAACATTCCATGGGCTCATCTATGCAAAGGTTCTGGTCCACAAGGGACTCCCTACCGTTTATGGCCTGTTCTCCCCTCTGTAAGGTGAGTGGCAGATATTAGAACAGTTGTAAGGACTGCATCTGAGTCCAGTGCCCAACATCTCTTGGTAGATCCTGGGTTTTGGAGAGCCCAGAAAGGACATGCTGTGACCACTGTCAAGAGCTACTCATTCTCCAAGGGACATCAGTGTCCTACCCTCCAGACCAGGGCCAACCCTGCCTTGGGCACAGCAGCCCTCCCAACTCTAGGCAGGACCTTCCAGCACTCACCTCTGGAGAAGTCATTTCTTGAATCTGTCATCCTGCAGCACAAGGGTTAAGTCCCCGGGGAAGGTAGTATGCCTCCCTCCACTCAACGGGCTTCTTTTTGTGTCAATCCAAGTATTGTTCAGAGAGGCTTAGTCCTAACTCTGCCCTGGCCTTGCTGTGTGATTCTAAACAGTCACTGCACCTCTCTGGGACTCATTTTCCCCAACTGGGAAATATCAGACTAGATTCAATAGCACACCAAACACTGTGTGTGTGTGTGTGTGTGTGTGTGTGTATACACCCTCATGTGCACACACTCTTGACAGTATGCAGAGCACTTTTTCAATCACCCCCTCACACAGTCTTTGAAATTCCCAGACCGCTCCCTGACACAGGAGGCAACCAAGGCTCTGCAATGTGGCGAGGTGTCTGGTCTGCCAGGTCGGAAGTGAGTTGACCAGGTGTGGCCCCCTGCTCCAAGGACAGGACTCCTCCCTGCCCTCGCAGATCCTGGCCGCCAGTCCTTCTCTGCACTCGGTCATCCTGTGTGATCCTGGGTTCTCACCTTGGCTCTTGTTCCAGTGCTAATCCCCAGACCCACTGCCTGACCAGACTCTCCTCTGAGTCACTTTCAATGTTCCCCGGTGACTCTGAAGGGCTGCCGGGTTTGAAACCCTGGGCCAGCTGCATCTCAACCGCGGCTGGCTGGCCTCCGTGCCATGAAGCGTTGCGTCAGGGCCGGGTACCCATGGGCTGAGTGTGCACGACTGCAGCTGGGGGTGGGTGGGTGTCTGTGTCTGCGGGGCTTGGACATTACATAGGCACTTGCTGAGTACTTTGTATTCCATCTCCCAGCAATACTATAGCATGGGCACTATCACTAGTGCCAGTTGATAGGTCAGGGAATGGTGGCACAGAGCGATCCCTAGATTCTCCACAGTGACACAGCTGATCAGTAAAAACAGACAAACGTTTGCCCACGCAGGCAGTTCTGCCTCACAGTGGGCCCTGTTGCTGAGGAGGCCTGCTCCCTGGGGTTTTCCTAGCTGTCATCTTTACAGAAGCAGATCACCAGGCCTTTCTTCTGTGGTGCTGTTGGATGGGCTTGTACTGCCACCAGGCTAGTGGAGGAGCACCAACTATTTGTACCACCCAGGGACCTAGCTAATGAGTTAAAAGCAAAACCAAAAAACACTGCCATGGAATCACCGGCAGTGACCCTATAGGGCAGAGTAGCTCGGTCCCATAGGGTTTCCAGGGCTGTCAGTCTGTACAGGAGCAGACCGCCACACCGTCCTCCCAAGGAGCAGCTGGCAGTCACCCCACTGACTCCTCAGTCAACAGCCCAAGCTTAATCTGCTGTGCCACCAGGGCTCCTTTAGCTAATGACCTGTTGCTTTTAGGGGTTACGGAGTGGGCTCCGGCGCCATCCTCACAATTGGGCCCATGCTTGAGCCCATTGTCGCAGCCACTGGTCAGGCCATCTCTTTGAGGGTCTTCCTCTCTTCCCCTGCCCCTCTGCTTTACCCACCATGACGTCCTTCTCCTGACATGTCCAGCATAGGTAAGACAGAGTCTCACCATCCTTCCCTCTGAGGAGCGCTCAAGCTGGACTTCTTCCAAGATAGATTTGTCTGTCCTTCTGGCAGGCCATGGTACTTTCAGTGTTCTTCTTCACTACAACTCACAAACACCGGTTCTTCTTCGGGCTTCCTTATTCACTGTCCAACTTTCACGTGCAGATGAAGTGATTGAAAATACCATGGCTTGGGTCAGGTGCGCCACCGTCCTGAGAGGATCATCCTTGCTGTTTAACACTGTAAAGAAGTCTTGTGCAGCAGTTTGCCCAAAGCAATGCATCTCTTGATCTGCTGCTTCGATGAGCATTGATTGTGGATCCGAGCAAGCCAAAATATTTGACGACTTCAATCTTTGCTCCCGTTATCATGATGTTGCCCTATTGGTCGTTATGAAGGTTTTAGTTGTCTTTACATGGAGTTGGCATCCATGCCAAAGGCTGCAATGCTGTCTTCATCAGCACGTGCTTCCAGCCTTTCTCATTTTCAGCATCATGGGTCATCTGCATATTGTAGGTTGTTAATAAGACATCCTCCGATCTGCATATTGTACATTGTTAATAAGCTTCCTCCGATCCTGACGCCACATTCTTCTTCATATAATCCAGCTTCTCCGATGATTTGCTCAGCGTCCAGATTGAAAAAGCATGATGCGAAGATACAGCCCTGACACACACCTGTCCTGATTTTAAACCATACACAACTGCCTCCTGAGCCATGTGCAGTTTCTCTATGAGCACAAGGAAGGGTTCCGGAATTCCCATTCTTCTCAAGGCTATCTATAGTTTGTCATGATCCACACACTTGGATACCTTTGCCTAGCCAATGAAACACCAGTAAACATCTTTCTGGTAGTCTCTGCTTTGAGCCAAGATCTATCTGACAGCAATGATATCCCTGCTCCATATTCTCTTCTGAATTTGGCCTGAACCTCTGGAAGCTCCCTGTCAATGTACTCTGTAACTATTATTAAACAATCTTCAGTAAAATTTTTACTGATCCTGGATTCCCTGTGTTGCGGGCTCTTATCTGTAGCAGTGTGCATGCTCTGGTCTAATCCGATTTGTAAGGTAGAATTGAGGTCATGATAGTGGGGTGAAGGAAGCACCAAAGAGCTAGAGGATACCAAGAAGATTAGGGGAGGTTGGGGGGGAGAAAGGGGGAATCGATCAC